CTGAGGTCGCAAGCCAGGCACTGAAAACACGTGCATGTTGCCCAGGTTGGTGAGGCAGGCCAGGGAGATCTTGGTGTAGTCCTTGAAGGCCATGCTGGTGAGGGTGGCTAGAGCCACCTTGCGCACACAGCAGCCCTCATGGGCTGTCAGCTTGAACTTAGACTTGGTGCTTACCTTGGACAGTGTGAACACCTGGAACTGCTCCTCAGACACAGTAAGCACAGTGTGCTTGCCCTGCATGTCACGCCAGGTCCCGTGTGGCATTGTAGGACTTGGGCTGCGGCTGGCCGCTCCCGTCCAGCACTGCAGTGGCCACCATGGGTGTGCGATGCATCAGCTGCACTTCCTTGCCCAGCACAGCCTCCATCGCCTGCTGCAGCTGCTTCTTACCACCTACCAAAGCTGTTGGCACCTCCAGCACGTAGGCGAATGCAGAGCCTGAGTTGGTGCCTGCCCACATGGTGGGCTTGTGGTGGGCTGCGTCTTGGAAGAATGAAATGGCAAAGTAGAGACAGCACATGACATCTGAGAGGGAGTCGCCAGCAGAGCAGGGCTCAATGCTATGCTACACAGGCGACACCTCCACGTGGTAGGGGCAGGCTTGCTCCACCAACTGCACACTGGCTTCCTGCAACTTGCTGTTGGCATTAGCAGCATGCTTCTTGCCCAAGACACGGCTCTTGCAGATGTGTGGGAAAGACTGGTGCAGAGACTTCTTGAGAGACTTCACCTGGGACAGTGGCCCCTCCATGGTCAAGGAGTCGTTGTGGAGAAGGGTGTACTTGGCCAGCACGGGGCTCTTGTGCTGGTAATCAAAGAGGCCAAAGCCATGAGTGGTGCCAAAGACCAAAAGGCTCCACTTGGCATGGAGCGTGAAGGTGGTGACAGTGGCTGATGGCAGGCACTGTATCAGAACGTGGGGCTGAAAGCCAGCAAGCAGTCCAGGGCAGTGGCCCCGTGTGCTGGCTCAGACATACAAGGCCTTTCCACATGAAGCCTTCAGGGCCCTGAAAGAGGTCCACCCTGGTCACACTGACTGCCTGCTCCACTGGCATGTTGCTGAGCTCCAGTACAAGCACCTGGCCTGCAGTGCCACCCATCTGGGCTCTGTACTTACAAGCGAGACCTTCTGCACCCTGAGCCGGGGGGTCATTGCTGTACGGGTCAAAGCAGCCCACCTTGCAGAAGGGTGACCAGTCTTCCTCAGTGGCCTGGATCAGGCTGTTGGAGCATGCTCGCAGTCAGTCTGTAAGAGCCTGGTCAAGCTCAGCTTGTACAGTAGCCACAGCACCACATCTGAGGCTTCGCAGAACTGCATGGTGCCATTCTCGTGGTCATTCAGCAGCAGCCCTCACTAGGATGGCTCCTAGGTCAGGTCGTAGCCCCCAGTGATGGGTCAGCTTGAGGGACTGGAGGCCAGCTGGAGACTCTGCTGCTCACTAGCACTCATGATGAAGGCCCACAGCTTGGTGGGGACGTTGGCCATGAGAGCCGGACAGATAATGGCAGATGAGTGTGGTGTGACCAGGTAGGGTGCAGGCATGGCTGGCCACCTGGGTGTCTGCAGGTTGAGCACTACTAGCCTCTTTTCCAGCAGCACAGCCAGGGCCTGAGGGTGGTCAAACTCTTCCCCGAGCTGTGCACCGTGAAGAAGTCGATGGTGCAGACGGTGAAGTCCAGTGTCACCGGTGTCTCGGCTGCAGCACACTCATTTAGTGGCGGTTGCCATAACTGGCCTGGGGCAACCCCCACTGAGGATGATGACATGGCCCACAGATTCACAGCTCCACCACAGAATCTTGTTGACAGCCTTGCAGGGAAAGGGGCCATAGGGTGTGGTGGCCACTGTGGGCTGCAGTGTTGGGGAGCTGCTGGCCTCTGTGGATCAGATGGTGTAGCTGCCATCGCTGTGTGAGTTGACAGTGGCACTGCTGCCGCACCCCCAGATCCCCAGCTGCTAGTTCCTCAAAAAGATGTCCACATGTTGCATGGCCCACTTCCAAATGACCAGCAGGCCCTAACTGTAGCCCATGAGGACCTTAGTGGGGTCTCGCAGGTGTCCCTGGAGCGACTCCATGGGTCCCAATGTCTTCTGACACTGGTAGTCATCCAGCAGGCTTCATAGAACATTCTCCGGGCCTAGGGTCTGCACCTCAAGCAGCATCAGGGTGGTGATGTCCAGGAAGAAGACACTGCCACCCTCAGTGCACAGGGATGCCGTGTCATCAGCAGCCACCAGCAAGACCACTGTGATGCAGGTGAGGTCAGGCAATGCACTGGCACCATCAAAGGCAGGTCAGCTGGGTGGCTGGAAGCTGAGCGCTGTTGGGGATGATCTCCCAGAGGTGCAGGTTGCTGTTGTCCAGCAGGGTCAGGAGATGGCCCTGGCCAGGCAGAAAGTGCATCTGGGTGACAGTGACTGCATCCTCGTTCAGGCCTGTGAACTCCACGCCGGTGGCACTATAGATCTTGACGGCCTCAGGCCTGGTGCCAAATAGCCATGATGTGAAGCTTGGAGTCAAAGGCCAGGGCGCCGGGCTGGTTGGGGAAGCCATGCTCCACGGTCTTGTTGAAGGCAAAGAGCTCCTGGTTGAGCTTCTCGTGCTGTGGGTGGGCACCCTGCCACTGGAACAGAAACTTCATCATCTTGTGCCTGCCTGTCGGCATCATGCCTGCAGCTGCCACCCACAGGGTACACCGTGGCCCCGCAGGTCCTGAGGCACTGGCGGGGCACCAGTAAAGTACTTTTGAGGGCGTAAAAATTCAAGTTTCTTGTTAAGGTGTATCAGTAGTCAGAGACTCTACAGTGCCTCTTCAGGGTCAGTATAAAATCTTAACTATTTTTAAAAATTTACCATCTTGGACCAGCAGATAGCATAATGGCTATGTCACTGGACTCCCATGTAGTTGACTGCAGTTCAAGTCCCAGACCCAGTGGCTTAAACTCATGCCGTGCATGTGTTGCGTGCATACCCAAGATCCTGAGAAGAGAATTGAGAAAGGATTGCAGCGTGGCCATCTCCCCTGGGGGGTGATTTCTCGCTTTCTGTCCCTCTGTCTCTCTCTGTCTCTCTGGCGAGTGCACATGCCCTATAGCAAAAAGCAAACAAACAAAACAACAACAAAAAACCTCTCAGAACAAAATTTACTATCTTAACTATTTTTAAGTGTACAATTCAATACTTTTAAGTATATTTATATTCAACAGATTTCTAGAATTCAGTGTATAGGAACACCGACACTCTGTATCCACTAAATGTGAATTCCAGACATTGGAATAGTCTAGCGCAACCACCTTTCTACTTTCTGTTCTAGTGTTTGGGCTACTGTAGGCACTTAATATTGAGTAAAATTGTACAGTATTTGTTCTTTTCCAACTGGATTCTTTCACTTAGCATGTCTTCAAGGTTGATCTAGCTGTAGCACGTGACAGGATCTCCTTCTTTTTAAAGGCTACATAATCTATTGTACAGTTAGACTACATTTTCTTTAGTTGTTCATCCCTTAATGGGCAGTGGATTGCTTCTACCTCTTGGCTGTTATAAATAATGATGCTATAAACATGGATGTGGCAAATATCTCTTTGACACTCCACTTGGAATTCTTTTGGATATACAAGGTACTTCAAAAAGTTCATGGATAAATGGAATTAAAGTAAAAGATTATTTTGGTGCAAAAATAATTAAATTGAAATCTATGCACAGTTATTTCATAATAATCACTTTCCATAAAATTTTGAAGCACCTCTCCTATACCCAGAAATGAAACTTCTGGGTCATATGGTAATTATAATTGTTTCATAGTTATTTTACAATCCCAGCAGCAATGCACAAGGGTTCCAACTTCTCTGCATCTTCTCCAACACTTGTTATTTTTCTGTTCTAACAATGGCAATCATGATAAGTGTGATGTGATATCTCGTTGTGGTTTCAACCTGCACTTACCTAATAATTACCTAATAATTAGTGATGTTGAACATCTTTTCTTGTTCTTATTGGCCATTTGTATATACTCTTTGGAAAAATGTCTATTAAAATCTTTGCTTGGGGCCGGCAGGTGGTGTGATGGTTAAAGTCACTAGACTTCCACGTGGTCAAATGAGTCCTGGACTTGGCAGCTTGCTCTCTGTCTGTCTCTTTCTCTCTCTCTCATCAAAAATTAAAAATAACAATAATATATAAATAACTCTTAAAAAATCTTTGCTTAGCCCAGCAGGTGAAATGGAGGTTAAGGTGGCTGGAAACCACATAACTGACTCCATGGTTTGAGTCCCAGACCCAGCAGCTTGAAAATCATGCCAGGCGTGTGTGCATACATGCCCAAAATACCAAGAAGAGAATGGAGAGTGCACACACCCTATAGCAAAAACAAAACAGAAACAAAAAGAACCTTTGCTTATTGTTAATTAAATAATTCATTTAAAAAATTCATAATAGAGTGTATGTGTGCATGAGACAGAGAGACAGGATCTTGGGTACATGCGTGAGCCTGGCATGTTTTCAGGCTAACCAGACTGGGGAGTTGAACTGCAATCAGCATGTGACTTCCAACTCCACAGTCCTATACACTACTGACTGTGCCAGAGGCTGGGCCCTTCACTCATTTAAAATTTGGTTATTGTTGTTGTTGAGTTATAGAAGTTTCTTTTTTCTTTTTAAAAATGTATTCTTATTCTCTTAATTGTTCCTCTTTTATTTTCCCCCTTTGGCCAAAGGGACGTGTGCTCACCAGAAAGAGAGAGAGAACCCCCCCAGTGGGCCATGGTCATGCTACAATCCTCTTTCTCCATTGTTCCATTCTTTCACAATTTGGGGCATGCATGCACATGCACCCAGCATGTTTTTCAAGATCCCAGGGCTGGGATTCAAACTGCGGTCAGTCATGTGGAATCCAGCTCTCTATGCACAGTGCTTAAGTGCTGCACTATGGGGCTGGCCAGAAGCTTCTTATAAATTCTAGAGATTATCAGATACATTATTTGCAATTATTTTCTCCCATTCTGTAGGTTGCTTTTTCACTTTATTGATTGCTTTTACACACAGAATTTTTAAGTCTGATGCAGTTCCATTCTATCTTAATCATCTGTAAGTGCACAGCTCAGTAGTGTTAAGTATACTCATCCAACTCTATTTATTTTGCAGATCAGATGACTGGCATATACTACTAGTTATTGATATAGCATTGAATCTTAACATAGGTTTAAAGGCAGTTGGAATCATTCTAATAAATTTAAGCTAGAGCAACAGTAGCATGGATCCCTCAATATGTAGAATTATCTAGAAACTTGTCTATCTGACAAGTTTCTCTCCCTATTACCACAACAAAAGTCTTCTAAATCACTGTATAAATTGGGAGTTTAAGTAGATCACCTGCCTCACAAAGAACCTTGACCAATGGGTAAATAAATTTCAAACAGTTTTCAAGAAAAGCCAAGGTAGCTTTGTCATTGTGAAACATATTATCATTATATTCTATGCAATAGTGTACAAATAATGCCAAATAATACTGTAAATTATTGGATATTATATTACTAGTTCTTTGAAAATATTTCTGTACATGTATCATGAAAGAATTCTAATTTCTAGGTGCTTTAAGCATTTTCTTTAAAATGTTCTTCATATATTTTCTATATTCTCAAGTCTTCAAGTAAAATATCTGCTCTTTATAAATACAATAAGATTTCCAGACATTGCAAAAATTTTTTTCTTATAATTATGAAATATACTTTCTACATTATAAATTGATAGTAAGTAAGCATATCACATACTAATAATGACAATTAAAGATTGGGGCAAACATTGAAAAGCCCTTTTAAAATAATACATATTCATGTTTTTAAATAAAATACACCTACAACCATGGCAATGTATACCCAGGAAGTGCCAGTCTGGGCCCTATGACTATTTCTGAAAGGCCTATGTTCTGGATGGTTAAGTGTCTGTCTCTTACCACTCATTAAACATTTTGATTATAATTCCTACTTATAACTCTATAGAACCACCAATTAATAAAGATAAAAGGTAGCCCCAAAATGTCAGACATAAAAAGATATTATAATAAACAACAAGTTGCCATCACAGAAACTTTTTTTTTTTGCTGATTCTTCAGTGAAAAATATCACTAACAATAAAGGTAAGAATATGGGGGGCAGTCAGTGGTGTGGTGGTTAAGGTGGCTGGATCCCCCATGGCTAATTATATGATTTGAGCCCCAGAGCTAGTGGATTAGAGAAACAGACTAGGCACATAAGTGTGCATACCTAAAAATCCCAAAAGGAGAATGGAGGAGAAGGGATTGCAGTATGCCCCCCATATGCTTTTTCTCTCTCCCTCCTTCTCTCTCTCTCTCTCTCTCTCTCTCTCTCCCCGAGCAAGTATACGTGCTCTATAACAAAATGAAAAAAAAAAAAGCATTTGTTTACCAACTAGCTTTCTTCAAAGACTGATGAAGCACTCCCATGCCGAGCAATACACAGCTATAAATCTTATTAAAAGCAGATGTTTCAAATAGTCTAGTTAATTCTTTTTTAAAAGTTAGAATGTATTATAACAAAATACTGCCTAGATAGGAATGTCTCAGGGGGTCACTTGGTTGGTGGCCGGCTTGGGTTTGGCTTGTACATTGAGCACGTAATCATGACGGAAGGATGAGCGGACGGTGCGATTCATCAGGGGCTGGAGTGGGCGGAAGTTGTCCACCATTCTTTTCTCCTTCTCTCCCTCAGAAGTGAAAAGCAGGGTCCGAAATTGCTCAAGCTAGAAATCTAAACAGAAAGCATAAATAATTTTAGAAGAAAACCAGCTTTTCCTCATGAATAAATTGCTTTTTATTTTTAGTTGTAATGGAAAAAAATTACTTTTTATTTTTATGATTCTGAAATATTTATCCAGATTGGATACATAGAAGAACTTCTTCCTGGGTAAGAAAGCCTTCCTTGCTTGACAGGAAATAAAATGCCAGGTCACTATTGTGTGGAGAGAACGGAGCCAACAGGAGGAAGTGAAACCAGTGGGGTACCTAGGATTTGAAGACTGGGGGCAAAGTCCTAACCCCATATATTAGCCATTTACCAAGGACAAGTTACTTCATCTCTTTGATTCTCAGGAACCTTGTCTTTAAATAACCAAAATAGCTAGTTTAAAGGATAATAAAAGAAAGGTCTGATGCATATAGTAATAGTATAAAAATGTTTTCTTTAACTGAATTGTGAACATAAAAAAGTAGTGGGCCAGTAGGTACGGTGCAGTGGTAATACAACCTTCCCTGCAAGGCTAGAAGCCACATAGCCAACCACAGATTCAGATCCCTGGGCTGGCCTGAAAACACAACAGGCACACGTGGGTGCTCAGGATCCCAAGATACTGAAGAGCTAGAGGACTGGAGAAAGGGGATAGCAGTGCGATGAGATCCTGTCAAAGGCGACCCTTTATTTCTATTTCTTTTTCCTTCTCTCTCTCATGCATGAGTATGCACTATATAAAAAAATGTATTACTGCTTGCTCACTGAACCTGGGCATTGTGGGCAAACTATATACATAGATGTCTTAATTGGCAGTGGGAAACCCCATGCTCATGCTGACCAACAGAATTCTCAGC